ACTTGTTATACGAGGTGTTGAACACTGTCTCGACGTCGTCCTCCACAGCCGTGTCGTAGTGTTTGGCCAAATACTTGGACAGACCTTTGCTGCTGCCCTTACGGCTGCGTTTGGGTCGCGAACAGTCTTGAGTCGGGGCCTCCTCTTCGGGCAGCGTTGGCGCCGCCGCCGCCGATGACGGCTCTCCCGTCACAACAGACCTGTCTTTGGATTTGGCTTTCAATCGATTGATAAAATCTGAGCTTTTGATGACATTCTGCTCGACGGGCGGATCGATGGCCTCCGACGGCGGCGACACCACATCCTCCACCTTAAGACTATTCAACTCTTGACACTTGATTACAGCGGTTCCGTCGGCTAAGAGCTCTCTGATTGGGGGTTAAACACAAGACAATGAGTAAAACGGGCGATAAGAGTGGCGGTATCGCAGATGACATACTTGTATTGGTAAGTGGGGGCCCAACTGATCCGTCGGGACGCGCGGCGCTCTTCGCCGCAGTAATTGGCTTCAATGGTCTTCAGGATCTGCTCGGGTTTCGGGTGAGACAATCAATAAGACATAAACAAAAGAGTGGACACAAATGTGTGGATCACTTACCGATGATCTCCTTTTGCCACTCTTGCGGCCGACGGCCAGCGGCTCGAAGGCCGCCATAAACACGTCGTTCTCGTTGTTATTGTTGTTCATAATAGCGTTCACCCAATAGTGGTGGACAACCAATAGTGTCTTGAGATCAGATCAGGTGATAGACAATACAATAAACACAACACAAATCAATAAAACGCTTTCAAAACAGTGTTTATAATGTATTTCAATACAAATTGAAAGTAACTGAAAAACACATTTCAAATGCATTTAAACAATACATCTCAACACCCATTGGCTCACAGCTATCAGCCAATCGTTGCGCTCGTTATAACCACCGGTAAACAAAGTCATTGTTTGGGCGGAATTCATCCATAAGTAACGGCACAACAATTACGTCTACAAAAACAAACCATTAATCAATTTAAACCAAATTAAATGAATTTAAACACAATTTTGATGTCAATTATAACTTTTATTTGCAATCTTATGGTAAAAAGAGAAGTCAAACATATTATATATATATTTAGGTATATATGTAGTGATGAGCTTTAATTATACTTCAAATGCGCGTTCAATACATTCAATTACATACGAAAT